CACAACATCATATAAGAGATTTCCAGAAAGGTCAAATACACATGGAAGCTGACTGCAGTTATTGTCTGTGAGGAGAGTACATTCTTTCTTAAAGGCAAATGCATCTCTCAAATGTCAGACAGTCCACAGGTCTTATAACATGACTCTCTATGGGGCTAGAGCATGACGTCTATTTTTCTATTTGTACAATAATTTTCTATGTAGTATTGATAACAGCATTGTAAGATGTCGATATTGTTCATTTAGGGTTTGATGTGTTGTATTTTTTACGTCATATTGTCGTGTTGCTTGTGCTGTAGATAGCACCTGTAAAGGTATCTACAGCATTGTAGTTACATGTGAGTATTACGCGTTAATTGAACTGTTGGTATTTCCTTCATAAGGGAAGAAATGTCCTGATTGTACATCTACATTTGTGAAGGATAAAATTTCCCAACATTTGGCCCTTAGCGGCTGTTCTATATGCAGTGGTAACCTGTTGTGACTTTTGATGGAGCTCATCAGAAGACTGGTTGCCCTTCACGCGAGTTCTGATGATGGGGGCTGTGAGCTGGGTGCTCACAGATGCCAATCATCTTTAGCCATGTTCTGCTCTGATCTATTTCTTTATCAGTACGATTTATTTTAAAAATCTACGTCACTTTTCATCTACTCTGTTCTCAGATCTGTGTCTTTATGAATACAATTGTATCTTTCTACGATGAAGCTTCATTGTTCAATCTGAGAAGTTATACTTAACAAAATTTGGATGCCAAGCAAATGTTCTGCCATTTTAATATGTTTCTAAAATAAATAATCTTTACAGAACATCATCAAATTCTCTTAAATAATTCTTATTGCTTTTCCAAAATAATATTTCGAGGCTTTGGGGTTTTAGATGTTTTGATGACTTGGGATTGTGGTTTTCAGAATTGCAGCTTAGACCTTTAAAGACCAACAAAGGAAGAAGATACATTATCCTAGCTGCATGAGCACCTCGGGATATCTGTCACAGTAGCTAGACTAGAGGATGCCCTACTATTAAGCATCCACACAAGAGCCACTGGGACTGAGACACATTAGAACAGTTGTAGATGGAGGAGACATCAGTGTGAAGTCATGAGAGTAGGAGGGGTAGGTACATCACGGCCGACCTAGGAAGTTGTTCCACTCCCAAGGCTGCAGGCACTCACAGCAGGATCATTGGCAGAGAGTTCATAAGAGCACCAGCTGTCTGCTTAATGGCAGCCTCTGGGGGTGACAGGTCAGGAGCTGGATTAACATAGGAAAATCAGAAGGAACCCAAGTAAAGGATGACTGCGACACTTTAGGGCAGGGATGTGGACAGGGGCTTGGATCGGGAAAGGACAGCGGAGTTCTAGTAATAACATGGCTGGAGGTCCAGGTTTCAGGTCAACTGGACAAATTTCAGGGAGACAGTGAGGTGATGGCCCAGTGGATGGAGGCATCTGCCATCCTGCCTGAGGAGCTCCAGCCCCAGGAATCTTGGTGCAGGAGAGAGAAAATTGACTGAAGCAAGTTGTCTTCTGACCTCCACATGGTGTTGTAGCCCATGAACACACAACTCCACACCTACACACAGATACATTTATGCACTGTTAATCTTTTATAATGCTACATTTTAGGGCCTAAAGCAAGTGTCCCACAGAGGTTTCACCTGTCTGACTAGGAGAATTTAACGCTGTTTAATTCTGGAGTCTGTTTCAGAGGCATGCAAAATCCCTGAGTGCCAGGCATCCTGGGGAATTCTCAGCTTCCTTGTGCAGCTAGGAGCTGGAATGCTGCTGACTGTGCCAGGTCCTTGGCCACTGTGATTTCTGCCTCTTAGCATCACCAGAGGGTGTCTGCAGGGTTTCCATATGTTTATCCTGGGTTTTGCCAATAAAATGAACTGAAGCACTTTCAGCAAAATTTAAAGCAAACATTTATTAAGTATTAAATACCTCTCAAGACTACTGAGAGGAACGCACAGGCTTGCTTTACAGAATCTTCTCAGGGGAGAGAAGGCAAAACGTCATGATTGTTGATTTCATCCACTGTGCTGTGATGAGAAAAACCAGGACTAATGATCTGGCACAAAACGTAAAAGGGAAGCCCTTCTAGTTGTGTTAGGGGTACATTACATGGAGGTGTGTCTTTCTACATTGAATTATTAAGGGATAAACCAGCAGCAAATTAAGTACCAGCTAGAGAGCTGAGTACTAGCCAGATCTTGGTATTCTTCGTTCTGTGGCCCATCAGAGGTCTTATATTTTGTAAAGATTCCTCCTCCGTCACTTGTCTATTGGCTGTAATAAAGAGCTGACAGAGCTGATGGCCAATAGCTGGGCAGGAAGTGGAGGGCAGAACTTCCTGGAGAGAGACTCCAGGAAAGGAGGGAAAGGCGCCAAATTTGCCTGGGGACTCGAGAAGAAAGAAGCATCTGAACAGGATCAGAGAGGTAGAGCTGGCCACACAGTGGAAGGTAATGCCATGATTAATCGGGATAAACTAGAAAGTGGTCAGGAATCTATCCAGGTCTAGACTTAAGCATTAAAATACTCCAAAACCTCTGTGTCATAATTTGTGTCACTGGTGGGTCGAAAAGTCCCGCTATCTAACTGAAAAAACTTGGGGGCCACTTTAGGAGGAAGAAACTGACCAGTTTGAGAGGAACAACATCCTAGGGTCCCAGAGACTAAGAAAACAGAAAAGAAACCCAGAAAATAATCGTGAGGCCTGAGCAGTGTCGTGAATGTATGTGAACTTTACCACATCCTTCCTGCAAGCACTCCTGTACTTAGTCACCATCTGTGGAGGCTGCCAGGAAAGGACAAGGAGGCCAGCCTGTGGTTTAGTCTCCACCAAAATGCTCACATGAGTTCCTTCTATATCTCTTGGCTGCCCACCCTTCCTCCACATCCAGGCTAACTTTAAAATCCAACCTGAAGGTTTTAAAAATACAGTGAAATTATAAGTTATCCTACATATCAGAGAAAAAAAAGAAACTTCATATTAGAAGCCCTGTGTAAAATGCACTCTTTACTCCATTGAGTTTGGTCAAGAGTTTTTGTCGCTGCTTGTACTTGTATGTTACTTTGTGTCCCCAAAACTGTTTGCATTAGAACATCTGCACAAGAACATCTGCATGGAAGTTGCTTTTAGGAACCTGCTCCCAGTTGGTTCTGGTCAGCAAATATAGATGCGGACAGCCAGTGGTTGGGCAAGGTAGACAGAGGAAGGACTTTTAGGGCCCCCCGCACACACCATACCCGCCAGGAAGAGAAGAAAGGAGAAGAGATCTGCTATGGCAGAAGAGGTGGAGGACAGGAGACATCATGCCTGAGAAGGTGCGGCACAGAAAGCATAGCTATCATGTAGGACCCAGGGTAGAGCAGCTCAAGAGGGCTACCCAGCTGTGTCCAGGGCAGCCAAGATGGAATATAGGATTTAGTATGTAATGACTCAGAATTACAGGAGGGAGGTGGATAGCCATGTGGAGGTCAGGAAGTGGCTCAGCCTTTGAAGTGATTAAGGCATATCAAAATGAAAAGGTTGTGTGTGTTTCATTTGGGAACCCAGAACATTGGGCCCAGAAAGGAGGAAGATGCCACTGCAGGGGATTATTTAAATTTTTACTGCTACAAGTTTTAGCCTAATTAAAATCTGTGTTTGTTTCTTTTTAAAATGTCACATTTCTGGGACAAGGAAAGGACTTTAAGTGATCAGTGGACAGATTCCTGTACATCTGTGTTCACTGTAGCACCAGAGATTCACAGTAGCAGAGAACTGGGTGGGCACTGTCGCCCATCAACAGAGGAATAGACAAAGAAATGCAGACAATGGGGTTTGTCTGCAGTGCTGAGAGTGAAATGACATCTTTTCGTGAAGTGACTGTGATGTGATGATTGAAAAGAGCAGGGCTTGTCGTGACACAAATGAATCATTTTCTCTAATGTTCAAGATGTATATGAATATATCTGGAAGCAAGAGAGGAGCTGAAGGGAGAAGGAGGAGAAGAATCGTGATGGGGAGGGAAGGAAGGATGGGGAGGGAGACTAGGAGGGAATGTGCAGATGGAGAAGGGAGGAAGGGAATAAGATTTTTACTTACCTTTAACTCAAATACTGGCAAAGTGGCTTACACGTAGGTTGGATGGGGGGTTATTGCCACTGTCTAGTAACCTCTGGGCAAGCACAAATCTGTTGATAGTCCATTTACATTCATATTTGACAACTGCCACTCTTCATGAGGACACAACTGCCTGAGACAAATGAATGATGGAAACTTAGTCCATATACTTAATGGAACATTTTTTTCAAACACACATACACATGCACGCACACACACACACAAATTATAGACACTTTAGAAGATTATCTAATATAGAAAATAACATTTTACCTCAGGATCAGAAAGATGTGTTCTCTCTCACACAGATCTTAATCTCCAATTGCTATACTTGTCTATTAAGATAAAAGAAAGTAATGGTGGATGCCAGGAGCAGAAGGAGCCCATGAGCAGTGGGGAAAAGACTTCAAAGAGAGGAGGGCGAGTGTGAGAGACAAAGTTATGTTTTAAGTTTTAATCTCTGTGCCCCAGAGTCCATTAGACAAAACTGACTGTAGTCTGTAAGGCCCTTGCCCGAAGACAGATACTTCCTGAAATGCTGGAGGTTATTCTTTGTGGGAAAAAATGAGGCACATGCTTTCACTGTTCCTAAAGAAGTTTGTTTGAGCATACTACACTGGATGAAGTTGATCACATGTAGGCAGGAGGTTTCTATGCAGAAAACGTAGCAATGAATGCTTGCCCCTGATTGGATTTAGGCAAGAGGTATGAAGGCAGGAAGGAAGTCAGGATACTTGCTTGCCACTGCCTGAATTTAGGGGTGGGAGGAGAGCTACAAAAGCAGGAAGTACGTCAGGATACATGCTAGCCTTTAATTGGCTGTGATAGAAAATCCAGTGGCCTTATGGGTTTGCCTTTATATGACTCTGCAAACTACCTCCCCCGCCATTTTCTGGGAACCATGAAGTGGTTCTGAGCAGAATCCTTCATCCTGGCTGAATGGAAAAAAGAAAGAAAAAAAGAAAGAAAACATGACTTGCCCTGGTTTTCGGTACCACAAGGATGAAATAAAGAAATAAAAAGTAAGGAAGGGGACAGGTTCAGATATGGCGGGAAAGAAAGTTTATTGTGGATCAAAGGGAGATATAGTCAGAGGCAAAATCATCTTGGAGAGTCAGAATAAACATGTTCCTAGCCATGGGAAGAGCTTGGGGAGAGGGAGGAAGGAGAGAGTGGTACCAGGTGCAGCAGCCAGGAGGCCCAAAGGAGGGACAAAAGTGTCTGGTAACTAAACTGGTTGAATTATATATGGGAGTGCTGTTGGGGAAAAGCAGCCCAGCCCTGAGCTGGAAAATTCAGGGTAGGGAGCAGGGCATGCCTTCCAGGAGGGCCCCAGTGTCTGGTCGGGACTGTGGGATTCGTGGAGAACCTGATGCCCCTATTGCTTTGATAGATTAAATATGCACCTCAGCCATTTGTCCCATGTTTGAGACCTAACATTGGCCAGTATTTAATTAAAGCTTGCTTCAATTTTGGTTCAAAAAGTCTGGAACTCTTCTTTCCCTTGTGATTCTCAGGTTAAACATAGAGGATAATAGAACCTCTGTGATATATGGATGTGAAAGGAGGAATAACCAAATGTTTGGTTCCATGCAGGAGGAACAACAAAACCGCTTCAGAACTCAGGGAATGTGCCCCACCGGTTAGCACAACCACATCAGAGGCAGAACCCCGAGGTCTACCTGTCCTGAGGACTTCATGCTGTTGTGGAGTTTTCCTCTGCTCATTGTCTTCAAAGTCACCACATCTGTTGTAATCCGTGAGTTGTATGAAAACTCCAAGGTGGCTTCCAGCTCCTCACTGGGCAGTGTCATTGGTACTTACAAGAATAGTGATTGATCTTTTTCAAGCATTGCTGCTGGAGCAGATCAATGACTCATCCACCGCCCTCAGAGAGGACTTAGAGATGTAGATTGTTAGAAATGTCCACCACCCTCAGAAAGAATTTGGAGATGTAGATTGTAGTAAAGTTAGGTTAAGATTCTTTTGCTAGTGGCTTTGATGTAGAAAATCTTAGGAAACAGTTTGAAGTTCAGAAAGATTCACTCTGAATACTTTAGCTAGAAATGTTTTGAATTCAGGCAACAAGAACAATGGCAGTCCAGCTATGGCTGATGTGACTCTCGAGCTAAAGCTGGGCTGGTGACCAAGGCAATGATTAATTTCTTGTATCATATTTACCCTCAGATTCCTGACAGGATTTAATGAAAAATGTTAATGAGTAGTTGCGCACCCTGAAGATTTACAGTAATAATGACTGATTGTTTTTATATAAAAGTTTAAATTTGTGATACTCTTAAGATTTTTTAATGAGGTTACATTTTAAGATGAATGATAAGATAATTGCCATATGTCAGTGGGAGAGATTGGCTGAGAACATTACCTTGCTTGCTTACACTTTGGTAATCTATAACAAGTTGGTTACTTAGGAATGTATGTGGGTTCTTGAGATTAATTTGTTTTTGTTTTTAGTCCATAATGTGTATAACATCTGCTCATGTGAGGGTAATAGGAAACATGTTTTTTCTTCTGTATATTCATTGTAACCATTCACTTAAAGAAAAATAGAATATAACCACATTGTGATTTTTGTTTTGCTGGAGTATTTTGGCAAATTATATAAGCTTTCTGAGAAAAAATAAAGCTGTTGAAGCTTGCTCATTGGAGCTTTGTTCCATCCACCCAATGTGTGCATGTGTGTGGGTGTATGTATGTATGTATGTATGTGACAGTAAACCATGCCAGCTTGGTAAGGTAGAATGGGTCTGAGACCCCGGAGACTCAATGGGTACACATCTAAGACAGTAGGTGCCTCCATGCTCCCTACCACCCTCCCTGCCAGATTCCTGCCCTGGAACACAAGGTGTGCTCCCCACTTCAGTTGCATAGCCCAAAACAGAGTTCTCCATGTTAATGAGGTACCCAGATGCCCTGAGGGTTTAGCCAATAAACTTTCCTTCCCACATATTTCTCCCTGAAAAAAGTATTTAATCTCAGGTCCACCCTGAGAAGTGGATACACATCCATTTTCCACAATGAACAACCAATAACAAGTTTGGAATCAAAGACTGTCTCTTTCATCTACCACCACCTTGATGAACATGGAGAAGGCCTTCACCTACAGAAGCTCAACTTAAATCTCCTGTAGAAGGCCCTTCTGTGCTTCCAGCCAACCACCACCCAAGGTCAGTCACCTCTGAGCTAAGCTGGGCTAGAGCCTCCATTTCATCTAGCCCAGAGCTAGATGCTGTCCTCAGCCTCCAGGCCCCAAATCTACTCCCAGCTCTTCATGACTTGGTGAAGCCTATATGACTTGGAGTTTGGGAACCACTGGTCCTGGCCTCCTCATGGGTCTGTGGATCTCCAGTCCTTCATTCCCAACTCCTCTGTAGAATAGAAAGAAGAGGTGCTTTGTGGAGTATTGGGAAACCTGTGTTCTGGCAGACACTGGTTAATGATCAGAGACCCAAACTAATGGCACAAATGAATGGTGTTGAAATAGGTTTAGTGAATCCAGGAGCTGAGGTTAGAATACTTTCCCAAAGTATCAGAATCCAGATTGGCTACTTCAGAAGGTTGACACATAGTATTTAGGAATTGATAAATTATCACAAATAAGACAAAATGTCCAGTGGATTAACTGTGTGGGACCAGAGTGCAAAGAGGGAAGTTGAGACCTGTTGTTGCTGACATACCCACAAATGTATGGGAAAGGGACATTTTACAACAATGGGGTTCTCAAATTAATATTCCCGAAATTCCATGGACAACAAATCAGGAAAGGAGGGGTGATATGATAGATGCTCCTGGAGAAGGTATTGATATGGGTGAAAGAGAACAATCAAGCTATGTCCATTGTCCAGAAGCAGGGATTGAGTTTCCAAATTTATGAAAGGGGCCACTGCTGACAGACCAACAGCCTTGCCCCTAATGATTATCAAACAGACCTGTGTGGCAAGAGCAGTGGCCTATGACAAAAGAAAAATTACAGGCCCATGAATAACAGGTACTAGACCATCTGGAGGCTCAGCATATTCCAGCCCATGGAATTTCCCTGTGTTTGTTTGTTTTTTTTAACAAATGAGGAAATTGGATGATGATAACAGTTTTAAGAGCAGTGAATAGAGTAATTCAACTGCTGGGTCCTTTTCTGCCTGAACTTCCTTCACCTTCTTTATGCCACCCAATCACATCATAACCTTGTTTCCTACCTTCAGCAGGTATGTCCTGCAAAATTACTGGGAAAGATGACTGTGGTTTTGTAACCACAGGTTGCCCCTCCTCTATCATCTGGAACCATCAGTTTGGTTGTTATTGTAGGTTCTGAATTGGATTCTTCTGAATGTCTTTATTCTGATTTATTATTCCTCTAATCTCTGTTCTATGGTCTGCAATCTAACATTCCATCTTTCAGTCCATGTCTTATCAAAGTCTATTTTATTCTGATCTCTCTTAAAATGGATCTATACAATTGTAATCAATTTTAAATAAATAGTTAATTGTATGCAGATAAGCAAACTAAAATGAAATGGGATCAAGATGAATTATGTCCTTGTTTTTTCCATTTTAACATTTATGATTATTTATACCCAGTTTCCTTCCTCTTTTAGTGTTTTTAAACTTAATGTCTTACCAGTTAAGAGGTTTGGAGCTTTTCAGTTCCACTGCAGCTCTGACAAAGGTTCTTTTTGCCCTCCTGTGTATCTACTGGCTTCTCAGACCAGTACATGTCTATGCCCCTTCAGCTCAGTTCAGCAGGCTGCCCTTGTTGATTTGGAAGCTGGAGACTCTATTTGCCCTGCCATGAGAATTGGTCCTCATACCATATGTGTACCAGCCGAGAGCAGAGTCTATTCATCAAGGCTCTGAGAAGTTTTTTCCTGTGGGGCTTGCCTTGAGGTTTTGGTTCCCTGCTCTACCTGCTGCTTAGAGGCCCCTGTAGAGGATAAAGGCCTGCACGTCTGCATTCAGCCTCTCCAGGGTTTCTCTTTCCTTGGGTAGGAAACCATCTTCCACCCAGGAGTTTTTTTTTTCTCAGCTTGCATTCTAAGAGCACATAAGTGGGTGCCTTCTGTAAACTTGTGTTTTTACACCCATCTGTTGGTCTGTGTAACAGAAGCTAAATATGAAGATCTTAGGCCCGGTCTGGCAGGAGAGTTCAAGCACAGGAAAAAGGGCATTCCTTCCAGATAGGATCTTATATAGAGTTTTGGGTGGGGTGGGTCTGACAGCAGGTACTTCCTGTTGACTTGGCCTGAGATGCCTTACCTTGTGGGCACTGCCCCCATGTGACTAATGGCCACAATTCTCTCGATGGGGGGCTGTAGCTATATGACAGGGACCTGGAGTCATGAGCAGGTGAAGCTCCTATCGTCCCTTCTGGGTCTCCAGGGCATCAAGCCCAGCTTGACCTAACCAGGCTTCTCACGATCCACTGCCCCACACCCATTCTCTTTGTTTCCAGAAAGAGAAACTATAAGACTTCTTATATATGAAGAAATGCCTAAGGCAAAAGCCTTGGATCATTTCCTGACTATCTCATAATGTAATCATCCCATTATTTTATTTTAAGTTCTACCACATGACGGGTTACCTGGTCCTCAGTTTCATGTAACTGTCATGCATTGTCTGGGCCAAATTTTCTTTTGCTGCATCTGTTTCTTTCCAAGATTCTCCCTTGCCCTTAAGAATGACCCACTTTATCATCCTTCCATAGCTCATTGGCCATGGGTCTTTTTATTGACAGGCAAAACTATGTATTGCAAAAAAGATTCTCTCTACACAAATCACTGAGTGTCACTCAAATTTCCACAAAAGAAGGAAAGAGAAGGGATAGTATTACAGGACATAATCAGATTAAGGAAAATCAAACCAGTCTCAGATAAATCTCATACCATTCCTCTCAGTTGTGCTTACTACAGTTTATACACTATACATCTGTGCAACCACGTGTGTGTATAAAACGTGAAAGTAGAGATGACATTGTCTAAGGGAATATAGGGAACAGATGGGATAGGGACATCAAAGAAGGTTAGGTAGGATACCATACTCAATGCACAGCAAACACTTATGTTAAAGGTCTTTCTGTAGGGCAGAGAGAGTTGATTCAGTCGTTAAGAGTGCTTGTTGCCCTACAGAGGACCCAGGTCCAATTCCCAAATGTCACATGGGGCTCATAACCACCCCTAACCCTAGCCTTGAAGTCATTTGTATAATACAGTGGCATGGAGGGTGAATACACTTAATGAAGTTTCTTAATTCAAAACAACTACAAGAAGAACCATATACAGTCATAGAAACAAATGTGAAAAATTACAAGCTGCACAAGTTACTGTAGTCAGTTCAGAATTGTCCCAGCCTTTGCTGTCTTAGTTGTGTTTTATTGCTGTGAAGAGACACCATTACCAAGGCAGCTCTTACCAAAGCAAATATTTAATTGGGGTAGAGGTTCAGTCCATGATCACGGGGTGATGGCAGACAGAAAGACAGTGTACAGGCGACATGATACTTGAGGAGCTGAGAGTTCTACATCTTGATCCAAAGACAGGAGGGCACTCTCTTCTACACTGAGTGGAGCTTGAGCACCCTGAAAGCTCGCCTACACAGTGCACACTTCCTCCAAAAAGAACACACATATGCCAACAAGGTCACATCACCTAATACTGCCTCTTCCCACAGGCTTAGCATATTTAAGCCAGCACATGCCACTCTGTTGTTCCCATAGACTTGTTCAAACACAGGATGCGGGGCGCCGCCTCGCCGAAAAGGAGAACGTCACGCTCAGGATTCTTCTGGCAGCATTTTTATTGTTACAGCTCTTTTAGTGTTACAGCTCTCTTAGATGGTAGTGAGGCGAGGGACCCCAAACCCCAAAAGCTTGTGGCTTATATAGCGCTTTGGGAGATGTGCCGCACACTCATTGGCTCTTATGATGTCGCCAAATTAGCATACTGGTTTTCGCGCCTTGCGCAGGCTCACATTCAAGCAAGGCTCGCAAGAAGAACCAGGAAGCAGGAAACCGGCGCCATCTTGCGATGGTGGACGCGGCTCCTAACATCTGCCCCTTTTTTATTAAATTGCTGCAACAATTTTCCAACTGTTATTTCGCCGATCAAGCCCACTGTTCTAGCAGTAAGGCGTTCAAGGCAGTTAAACAGTTGTGAGACCCTCCACACTTATCTCCCGTGCAATGGGAACCCGAGCCCTGGGAAGTGTGGAGGACTACCACTCAGGATTCCTGGTGCAATGGGAACACGAGCCCTCAGGGTACCCCATTGAATGATAGTGTCTCATTGTTTAAGCATATTCAACCAAGCTTGAGGGGATGTTCCCTGCTCTAAGGCAAGCAGTGCTTGAGTGATAAGTACTTTATCTCTACGATGTTGTTTTTTAAATTTGCAGAGCAACCAGAGTGTGATCAGCACTCCCCCAAAGATCATACAGCCAAACATTCCTACCCCCACCCACTCCTTAAAAAAGGAGAAGGCGGACTTGAGCCAGGAAGTGAAGTCTTCAACATCAATCGGGTTTATTCTGGTCCCATTCAAAACAGCAATCGTGAGCAGGAGTTCTTCTTGTAGCTCCTCAGCCTGTTGTGACCAATTTCCTTGTAAAAAATTAGATAATTTAGTACTTTCTGTAAAAGACTCATTGTTATATTTCAAGG